AAATTTCTAAATATAAAGCTGTTTTATGTGAATGATGCTAAAGCATACTTGAGAGGTGTTAAGTGATGAAACAGATTTAAATAAAAGATTTCATTGAAATATTGGAAAAATATTTTGGGCATTGGAGTGATAATTATGTGAAGTTTGCATGAACAGCTAGTTTTAAGAAAAGGAAAAACATCTGGGCTGGTATAATTACTAAATTGCTTAGAGACAGACACGTTTGGACCTTTCTTTCCTGACTGAAGAAAGATAAGATTCTATGACAAAAATCGAGTACCTCTAGTACAGCTACTTGGTCATGTCTTGAGTTTTCACTGATACTTTTTCCCCCCAAGTGTTTGCACCTATTTATATTTTCCATAACAATGTTTAAGAGTGCTTATCACTCTCATCAGTTCCTGGAACTCTCTATTCATTTTAGCTCTTCTAATGGGTATGTACGATGCCATTCTAGGGACTAAGGTATACCTAATTCAGGACACAGTCTTTGCAATGACTTACTATGCATCAGAGAGCTGGACAATGACCAAGGATGACAGAAGAAAAATCAATGCCTTTGAGTTGTGATGCTGGAGAAGTCTTGAATATACCATGGTCTACAAAGAAAACAAATAATGTCTGTCTTTGAGAGGGTGAAACCAAGTTTCTCCTTGGAGGCTAGGATTTTGAAGCTTCGCCTCACATACTTTGGACACGTAGCCGGGAAGGACTGGTCCTTGGAGAAGGACATCATACTTGGAAGGGTGGAGGACAGTACAGGAGAGGAAGGCCCTGGATGAGATAGACTGACACAGTAACTGGGGCAATGGGAGTAGGTATGTCAGAGTCAGTGAGACTGGCTCGGAACATGAGAGGCTTCAGAGCTGTTGTGCATAGGGTTGCTATGAGTTGCAGGTGAGTGGTCGACACATAACAATAACAATGGGTATGTAGGGGGGTCTGGTGCCCTAATAGGTAAGGAGCTGTGCTGCCAACCCAAAGGCAAGTGGTTCGAATCCACCAGCTGCTCAGAGGGGGAAAGATAGACAATCTTCTTTTTTGTGATTTATGCCTCTGAAAACCCTCTGGAGGGTCAGCTATGGGACAGTTCTGACTCAATGACAATGAGTCTAAATGAATAGGTATGTGACATGACATCTTAGTGAGGTTTTAATTTGTATTTTTCTCATAATTAATGATACTTAGCACCTTTTTATTAATCTGGAATACTTGAATATCCTCTTCTGTAAAGTAATTGTGCAAACATTTTTCCATTTTGGAAAAACTGTGTTGTCCCTCTTTTTCTTACTGATAAGATAGAATTTTTTATATAGATAAGAGCTTTTGAGTTAATACATGATTTGCAAATATCTTCTCTCAGTCTGAAATTTGATCGTTTTCCATTTCATTAATGGTGTTAATTACTGTTAATTCTTACATTTAAGAAAGTATAATTTATAAACATTTTCTCTTCTTTTTTTAATAATTTTAATGAGCATTTACAGA